AGCTGTGGCTAGCTGTAGCTAACAGGTTAGCGCCTCTTTTAGCTGTGGCTAGCTGTAGCTAACAGGTTAGCGCCTCTTTTAGCTGTGGCTAGATGTAGCTAACAGGTTAGCGCCTCTTTTAGCTGTGGCTAGCTGTATCTAACAGGTTAGTCTCTTTTAGCTGTGGCTAGCTGTGGCTAACAGGTTAGCCTCTTTTAGCTGTGGCTAGCTGTAGCTAACAGGTTAGTCTCTTTTAGCTGTGGCTAGCTGTAGCTAACAGGTTAGCCTCTTTTAGCTCGCTCAGTTAGCCTGATTAAGCTACACTACTTTTAACTTCATATAAACAACCGTTCGTTTTCTAATAGCTGTTGTTTTATTTGTCTAAAATCTTGATGAAGGTCATTTATTAACACGTTCCAATTTTTTCACATCTTAATAAAAATAATAAAGATTAGCTGAGACTTTTAGTGTCTCCTTGTTAACTAGCAGAAAACAGGACTTTCCTTCAAAACCGACAATGATTGTTTTCTACTTTCTGCTGCTTTAGATCACAGATGAAACGTTAAATAATAGCAAATAAAGGGAATAATATGTTGAGACTCCAGAAGAGATTTGATTCCTAAGAAACAGGAGCAATACAGTTTGTCCGATTGGAGTTGCCATATTATGATGTCATAAGAAGGGGCGGGGCCCCGATCAGACCTTTAGTGCTGGAGGTCCATGTTAGCAGGCTAACAGCCCGGCTAGCATGCTACTGCTTATATAACAAACTGATTAAGGGTATAAATCTATATAAGTTAAAGGAAAGCAGCTATCTGTGGGTATAGCATGCTAACATTAGTGCTAGATAATTAAAGGGCAACTCACCCCCTTCCTGGGCCGGTCTCTGCGCATAGAGCTATGTTCACAGCCAGCGGGAAGTCAGACGGTTTTCCAGTAATCCTGATGAAAGAGCTCAGGATCAGAAGTTAAGAACGTTACAGAAAAATAACCAAACGTCAGATTTATCGAAAAGATCGTCATTTAGGAAGGAAGTTCCTCTTTTGACTTTATAACATCTTCACTGGGTTTTTTTCTGTGATGATTAGGAGCCGTCCTCAGACTGAGCTGAATAGCTGCCATGTTTTCGTCATAAAAATGAAACCAGAAATCCAGCAGCTCTGGTTCCTAAACAGTTTTTATTCGCTCCAGAAAGAGGGGGGGGGGGCAGAGAGCGATAGCATCAAACGGACGAAGCGAACGAGGGCAAGCTGCGGGGGGGTGAATACAGATTGAGCTGTCAGGACACTGATTTACTGATGGGGGGGGGGGATCAATAAGGAGGAAACCATGAAGGAAAAGGGAGGAGGAGGAGGGATGAAGAGCGAGTTGGGGGCCAGTCACCTGTGGTCGGCCATGTTGAAGTGATTTATAGGGAGGCTTGTTTCACTGGGAAGCCTTTCAGTGTCTCTCCTGGGTTTGATCCTTCCTTTCCTGAAGGCCCCGCCTGCTTCCAGGGCCCCGCCTACTGCGACGCCCCGAACAACACGGGGCCTAACCCTCAGCTCAGCCTCTGCTGTCCTCCCACGGCCCAGCTTTGCTTTGACTAGGCCGCTGTGACGCATTAATGATGTCCCTGAAGGCATCATCGGTGTTAGGCTGAACACCTGGAGGTTCACCAGTGAGACGGGCTGACAGTGGCCTAGTCAAAGTCCAGATATAAAACCAAGTGAGAACAGACGCTCATCTCTATCCAGTCTGAGGCAGATAAAGAAAAGAACATTTATGGGTAAAATGGGGTAAAATGGGGAAAATATCAGAGGGTAGGAAAACTTTTTGTTTTGTTTTTATTATAATTTTTTTTTTAAAAGGAACATTTTTTAAAAAGCATTTAAGATCAAAGAGCAATCGATAATTTCAAAGAAACATTTTGTAGAAAATGTCAAAAAAGAAACTGCTAATAATCCTGATTCATTCACATTTAAATGAATCCTGGAATAAAGGAAGGAAGCAGGTGGAAAACATCCAGACTTTCTCTGAGGTTCCTGAACCCAACATCAGGCTCCTCCTCCTCCAGTCGTTCCACATCGTTCCTTCAGGCAGAAGCTGAACGAGGCTCTGACTGAACAAACCGCCTCTCTGATCTCCATGAAAGCCTTTTAGCTGCAGCGACATCAAAGGCCTGCAGAGATGACGGCGCCGGATCCTCCGCCGCATGAAGGACACGAACAATGAAAGCAAAGACAGGAAGGAGGAGTTACCCAGCAGAGGATGGCGGGTCCTGCTGGAGGGCAGGTCCACCTCAGAAGGTTCCAGGATTCAGCATTTCAAGGTTCTGGTCCTCAATCTGCTGCAGGAAACAGTGGAGCAGATCAAAGACAGGAAGAGGCGTTGGATTGGCGGCCATGGTGGTCTTCAAGGCCAACAGGAAGAACTGTTCAACAAAACGGTCATTTGGAAGGCCTCAGGTCCTGGAAGGTCTCAGGTCCTGGAAGGTCTCAGGTCCTGGAAG